GCGTGTCATATATATAGCAGAGTGTAACAAAATTTTTTGTTACACTCTGCTATATATTAGGTTGGCAAAAAAGAAATGCGCGTTTTCGTTAAAAGTTTATTTTATTATAAAAACAAGATAACAATACATTAATCCAAAAGGTATTCGCCATCTGCATGAATGAAACGTTCACGCAGAGAATGGATGCCCTTCTTGAATAACTCGACCGGCTGCGACTCGAAGAAGTTGGACACCCAAATTTGGACCTCGTCGCGGTTCTTGAACTTTTTCTCGGCCAAGGAGTGGTGCATTGATCGGAACAGATGGTAGTCAGAAGGTGCCAAGTCTGGGCTGTATGGCGGATAAGGCAGGACTTCCCAGCTCATTTCTTCAATTTTCTGCTGGGTGACTTTTGCGACAAGCGGCCGAGCGTTGTCGTGGAGGAATTTTGTCGACGCCGTATCCACACCTTGACGTCGCAGCGCCTGGTCCACGCGGTCCAATTGGCCTTGGTAGAGGTTCGCCGTAACTGTTTGACCCGAATCCAGAACCTCAAAGTACACCCGGCCTTTACTGTTCCACCAAACACAAAGCATCACCTTTTTTCCGTGGATGTCCGGTTTTGGAGCTTCACCGGGGTCCAACCACTGCCGCTTTCTTGCTGTGTTGCCGTATTGGATCCACTTCTCATCCGACATAACAATGGAGTCGAAAAACCCACTGTTCTTGGCGCGGTGAGTGAGAATTCCGGCGATTGCGATGCGTGTCGCCTTGTTTGCGTCGGATAGCTTATGCGGTACCCATTTTCCGCATCTATTCGTCTTGCCCATGCCATGCAGATGGTTCTCAATGATGACATGAGTGCAGCCGAACTGCCAGGTCGCGAGTGGTTTGGCGTGGATCCGACTCAATGGCTTCCTTCAATGCGTCGTTGTCGATGATTTGAGGTCGACTCCCGTGTTTTTGGTCTTCCAAGCTTTCGTCGCCGTCTCGGAAGCGCAGAAACCATCGTTTACACTGACTTTCGGATAGAGCATCTTCGTCAAACACTTGCGATAGAGCGCCATAAGCTTCAGCAGCCGATTTGCCTTGCTTAAATTCATACCACAAGCAGGCCCGCAAACGAAATTTTTGGTCCGACATTTTCTAAACACTCTTTCTTGCAAAAAAACAAAGTAATCATAGACAAATTATATATCAAACGATGCGCAAGAACACGCTCTTTCCAATAGAATAAACTATTTTAAAAAATCTTTTACTGTGAATAAAATACAAATCAACAAACACGACGCTCATTTCTTTTTTGCCAACCTAATATATGAAATGCTTGTATTTTAAAATTACTAGACTATTACTAGACTCGTGCGCCTTTTGTATGATATGCTAAAACCGAGCTTATTCAGACACGATGTTGGGTTCGAACCCCACTCGCAGCAAGATTCTTTTTGTTTTTTTATCAAATGATATTGGCAATTATATGTTTAGCTAAACATATCTGAATTTGCACCCTTAAATCATGAAAAGATAACAATAAAATCCTCATTGTGAATTTGAGTTGTTCTTTGACGTGCCAGTTATCGTTCTTTTATCTGTAAAACACAAATCATTAGTTGCAATCAAAATTATGTAAATAATAAGAAAAGGAGCCCAAATTTTGATAAAAAGTGAAGAAATTAATAAAGATACATTCGTTTCATAGTTTTGCGTTTTTTTGTAAAGGCTACGGTAGTTTACCCACGCTTTAGCGCGCAGAAAGTTGAACAACTCTATTTTTGCGTTCAAAAGGCATCAACATTTCAAAGATTCACACAATTAATCTATTTTTGGTATCAAAATGTGCAGAAGACACTGGAGCATCAAAATTTGGTATGGGACGCTCACCAAATTTTTTTTCGCCAAGAACCAGCCTGTAAAAGGGAGGCAATTTTGTTGTTTATATTGAAAAAAGCGATTTTTTCGAGATTTTTCGATTTAAAGAAAAATCTGTCAAACTGTTGCTGAAAATTCATTTAAATTCGTATTCAGGGCATTTTTTCGCATCGAATAGCACTTACGAATAGTCGTTTTAAGAGAAAACAGCGTTAAACTTTCGGGAAAACGATAGAATGAGTTTCACCGCTTAATTCGACTATGATAAATCCAAATCTGGCCTCAAAATTGGACAAAATGTGTTTGCTTGGCTACAATAATCAAATGTGATATCTTTTTTGAGCTGTATATCATTACTTTATTTATGTAAGCATGAAAAAGTGACAACGGAAAATGTTTAATTTACAAAATGACACATAGTAAACTTATTGAAAGAAGAGGGAAATTGTAGAGATCGAAGAATAAATTAATTCTATTCAAACACAAATTCAATGACTATCTAGGAAAATTTCAATTTCAATTTAAACTCGAACTTGTTAAATGAACAAATAATAAAGAGGAATTCAGGCACTATCTTTAACTACTTTACACTTGATCCAACCAAATCAGGCGAGATTCAGACAAGTACGATCTCGATGGCCCTTGAGCCAGCACTGTATCGATTTCTGATTACTTTCTAAAAGGATGGCTGCTCAGTTTGTTTGAAGAATCTCAAGTCTAACAGTTAATATTTGCTGTATCCGTTCAACTTAAACTCTAACACTTTTTTAAAGGGTAAATTTTTGAAAGTAATGATAAATCTGAATTCTGGCACGATCTTCAAACCAATTTACGTGAATTCCTAAGAAACAATAATGTTACAAGAAAATTATAAGCTATAAGCTGACCAAGAAGCATTACTTTTTTACAAATCCTGTTCAAAACCTTAAACTGTAAAGTGATGCTTGTTTTCAACGTTGTCAAAGTTTCTTGAAACTATAGCCTACTAGAGCTGTTGATTTGTCGGTCTGATTGTCAATTTGGTGTACAACGGAAAAACGAGATTCGACTACTTCAACGGCTAATTTTTCAAAGATTTTTAAACCAAAAGATAGAGCTTCGAAAATTCAACCTTCGTGCAGGAAGAAGTGCAGAGAAAGTTGCCATTGCTGTGATCAAATCTCGTTTTTCTGTTGCAGATCTATTGACAATAAGACCGATAAACGAACAGGTCATAAAGTACTATAAAGTTTTGTGGTAAATTTTAAATTAAAACCGGGAAAGACCCTAATCCTGACTCTGAATACCGTAAGCTTGACCATAACACCTTAATCTGTACTTTTATGTTTGATCTGCTTATTGATGACCCGTTCCAACACACCAAAAGATTTAAATAGTACATCGATTTGATAAAACTAGAGTCAAGATTATGGTAGTTTTCGAAAACTGGTCTGAATCAGAAATCAGAAAAAACACAAGCCTTACTTCAATCGTTTCACAAAGAAATACACGAATTCCGCTTCCCTCTCGAATCCCAAGCAAAATCTCAAATCATCCACGAAATCACTCTTCCGAAAGCACTGTACTGAAATCAGGTTCCTAATTTTCTCATGCGTTCTTTCTCTCATTTCCAGCTCGATTTTTCTGCAAATCTCCACATCTTCCTCATGTTTCAATAAAGGATTGGAAGTAAACGATCTAATTGCGAATCAATTTGCGGAAAAAATGGAACGGAAATAAGAATCGAGCAATTCTCGTTTTCACTGGGCAATCCGTTTCTCACGATCCACATCGGGAAACACTCTGGAAGTCCGTCATTCGACAGACTTTCAACTATCTCAATGCGGCTCTTCAATAAAGCGTACAACAAAGTTTCGCATAAACCATGAATTGGAATTTTTCTACTAAGATTCTAAGATTCGTGAAATCGTCAACGGTTTGCAGCTTTTTCCACTCATCCAACTCAACCGGTCGGAATTTTGCCGACCCCGTGACTTTGAAACGAAATTCTTTACAGATTATGTTCAAATATCTCGCCCTAACCCCCTCGATACGAAAATTTTTCGCACAAAATTCAGTTTTCAGTTTTTCAAATTCAAAAAATTCGTCGAGATTTCCGTAATTTTCCGTCGGATAGGGGATATCAACATTAAGATTAGAACTTAAGATAAAATTTGAATACCTTTTATGATCCAATACGAGTCCCAGTAGAAGTAAACTGGAAAGAAGCCACCAGGGACAATGAATGGATTTGGGACGACAAGCACGGGTAGCCGGGTGGTCAAGTGTCTCATCTTAATATTAGGTTGAGTACTAAGTTTTGGACCTTTCATTTCATTATCTGAACGAGTCTTAAACTACTACATACCAAACGGTTTCTTTCATTAGAAATGTTTATCGCTCACTTTTTGTCATCTTTAAACAATTTTTAGTATTTTAGAATAACCTGCGAGAACGAAAACTGGTATTTTCCAAAATATTGAAAAATGAGCATATAAAGAAAAGCGCTAAACGGATTATTCTGAAATTTTGTTTGTAGACCTAACTTTTTGCGAGCTATCTTTTTTATTTTGTAATCAAAATAGGTTTCATTGAAAGAAAAGGCTCAAATCACATCATCGGACTTTGTCGTTTTTGCAATTGGCTTCTCGCTAATGAAAAACCTTCGCAACAAAGCTTTTCAAAAACTTTCAAAAGTAATCTGCAAGAGAAATGATTGGCCTACCTAATGAAAAAAAATCGTATTTCATTTGGTAGCTTGAGACTTATTTAATTAGGAATTTGGGTGAAAGAATTAGTAACCAACCTAATAAATGCAGTATTATTTAGTATAGATAGTCCTATTTATGCAACATTAAGTTTATTAGTTCTATCTATAACCAATCGACATTTGTCGATCTTGTTACAATCTTGAAATTCTTGGGCTTATGCAGTATTATCATAAACAGACCCAAGCAAATCTGGGCCAGTCAAAGTCTAGGAGTCAGGTCCTTAGGGCAGCTCCTGGCCTAAGTTACAAAAGTTACCAATTAGTCGCATCAAAAACCTCAACAACTTTTGTGCAATAAGCAAGTTCATAAAGAAAGATTGAGATTCTCTTTAACCTTTTTATTAATTCACACAATAGAAATATAGTGCAGAGTCAACTTGAATATTTCTTCCGTCCATTATCACCATCGGCGGGAAAAGACAGCCGGGCTCAAGTGCTCAATTCCGTAAGCACGACCCATCTAAAATCACTTAATTGAAAGCATGAATAAAATCCCCTTCTTACCTCAAACAGTGTGTCTTCATTAAAGTCCTCAAAACTATGGGGAATTTCAACAGTCCAATCATCTACTTTAGACAAAATAGCAGCCTAAACCAAATGTTTTAATATATGTTAAGAAGTGCCCAAATCAGGGCAATCAGCTTCTCCTTACCTGAACAGCAGCCCCATAAGCAACAGCCTCATCGGGATTGACCGATTTCTTGAGTTCCTTGCCAGAGAAGAAGTCGGAGAGCAGCTCCTGAACCCTTGGAATACGAGACGATCCTCCAACCAAGACAATGTCGTGAACAGATGACTTGTCCATCTTCGCATCACGGAGAGCCCGAAATAAAAAAGTAATTTCAAGAAAACAGAAATAAACATTACCTTCTCAACAGAACCCATGGTAGAAAGGAAAAGGTCAGCGCAGAGCTCTTCAAAGCGGGCACGAGTGATGTTGGTGTAGAAGTCAATTCCGTCGAAAAGCGAGTCAATCTCGATCGAGGCTTGGGACGACGAAGAGAGGGTTTTCTTTGCTCGCTCACAGGCAGTTCGGAGACGACGGAGGGCTGTTGGGTTTGATGACAAGTCCTTCTTGTGTTTCCGCGTGAACTCGCCGATGAAGTGGTCCACCATTCGGTTGTCAAAGTCCTAAAATGAAGATGTTTATCATTCCAAAAAAAGAACGATTATACCTCTCCTCCAAGATGAGTGTCTCCAGCCGTAGACTTGACTTCGAAGATTCCATCTTCAATGGTAAAGATCGACACATCGAAGGTACCGCCTCCAAGATCGAAGATGAGAACATTTCGCTCGCCAGCGGCCTTCTTGTCCAATCCATAAGCGATGGCGGCAGCAATGGGCTCATTGATGATTCGGAGCACGTTCAATCCAGCAATGGTGCCGGCATCCTTGGTGGCCTAAAAGTTTGCTAAATACACAAAAGAAACCTTATCTTTATCTTTACCCGTCGTTGAGAGTCATTGAAGTAAACCGGGACGGTGACGATGGCATCCGTGACCGTCTGTCCCAGGAAGGCTTCGGCGGTTTCCTTCATCTTGAGGAGCACCATCGAAGAGACCTCTTCGGGAGTGAAGGTCTTGTTTTCTCCCTTGTACTCGACCTCAATCCTTGGCTTACCGCCTTCGCCCGAGACGACTTTGAAGGGCCAGTGCTTCATATCTGATTGAACAACTGGGTCATCGAACTTGCGACCGATGAGACGTTTCGCATCTAAATTCACACATTCAGTACTCAAGACATAGAAACTAGCCAAAAACAATGTTGTGTGGTTTCATTGCCACTTGATTTTTAGCGGCATCGCCGACCAGACGCTCCGACTCAGTGAAGGCCACATACGAAGGTGTTGTTCGGTTTCCTAAAATTAAAACGTTGTAAGTTAAAGCAAATCATTAAATCTTCGACAACGTTTCTAGTCAACCAGAGTTTACAATTAAATTAAGAAGTTAAAGCTTACTCTAAAAGCATTTTGATTAGAATATACAAAGTTAACCTTGATCATTGGCAATGATTTCCACTTTGCCGTGCATGAAGACTCCGACACACGAGTAGGTCGTTCCAAGATCGATTCCAACAGCGTTTGCTCTGGCCATTTTGTTGCTTGTTGCAAGTTGATTATACAACTATTTGTAAATAAAAAAGTTAACTCCGTAAAGGCAAGAAATGAAACAAATGAATGAAATTGTTGACAAGGTTCGTTTCAATACCGCACAAATGGGACTGGAATCTTCGGGAAAGGCAAGGCAATATCGTAAACGGAACCATAGGCATAATTTACGGCATACTTAACAATCAATATTTTGTGCAAGAAGCTAGTTCATAAATCAAGATTGAGATTTTCTTTAAACTTTTGTTAATTCACACAATAGACGATTTAGTTGCGGATCAGCTTGAACTTTTTCTCCTTGCAGTCGATAATAATCGAGATCATTCAATTGCGCCATCACACCCATCCCCAAAATATTGATTCCCTTGAACTTCATTTCGGGTGAAAGAGGCGCAGTAATCAGGTTGTTCGGAATCTAAACATTTGAAAATTATTCAGTTTTCAGGAAAAACGAACAAACCTGGATTACAACATCATAGCGGTCCTTTGTAACATCTCCCTTGAGAAGTTTTCTGAATGCGGCTTTACACAGGTAGGTGACGGGAGCTCCGGTGTCACACAGGGACCAAATGTAAGGGTCTACCAGATCCTTCTTCTTGGCTTTTTGAACGACTAGTGGAACCATCAAGTGCTTGTTGTATCCAGTGACCACGCCATCGACCGAAAAATCATCAGAGTCAATAGACAGCCGACCGGAGCTATACTGCTCAATTCCGTAATCACGACCAATCTAAAGTAACATAATTAAAAGCATGAATAAAATCCCCTGCTTACCTGTACCAGTGTTTCTGCATCCATATCCATAAGGGCTACATCTTCATGATGAATGGCAGGCTGAAGAGAGTTGTCCTAAATAAAAAAGCTCTCAAAAAGAAAAAACATGCAAAGTCAAATGGATTAATGAGATATGGCAAACAGAATAGCTCACCTTGCGTTGCCGCTTGTTTGAAGCTCCCGGGACAGAAACTGGAGTCTATAAATGAAAAAATAGTAATTCCATTAATAAACTCTGAAATTTTACCTTGGCACAGGCTCGTTTCACAGTTTTCTTCTTTCCTTTCTCTTTGACGGAGCTCTTCGAGTTGTTGCTTTCCTTCTTCTTTGAGGAGGATGACATCTTCTAAACAAAAATATTAGTAATCCAAAATTAAAAACCAGGAGTATTAAATTCAAAGTCTCAACCTTTTCCTTTCCCTTTTCTGCGGCCTTCTTGTGCACCTTGCGAACATCCTTAGTGACCATCTTCTTCTTGGGCTCGGAGTCAGAGTTGGATGATTGCTAAAGAAAACGCAATAAATATAAACCCTTCATCAAAATAACAACATCAGCAAAAACTTACACTGGCTAGCCCCGACGGGGCTTTCTTTTCCTTCAACTTCTTCATTGTGTAGACATCACACCGCAAAGTTTTCTAAAGTACAAGATGTAAAGTATAAGAAAGATTATACTGAACAATACAAGATAGAAATAAATATTTACCTTTGGTGCATCTTTGCGATTCTTTGGTCGACTGCACGAACAGGTACAAGAAGGGATCGGGCCATCCTCACCAGTGATACGCTTCAAAGGAGCGACCTCTAAAAGAAAAATAATAACGCGGAACAAGTGCAAAAGTAAAAGCAAATTTTCATGATGTAAGAAAAGATCGAATAAAGTTAATTAATAGACAAAAATCCCACGCATGTGGGATGCAAAGAAAACCCTAATCAAAAAATAAATAACAGAAGAAAGGCAAATGAAACTAACTTTTTGTAGGCATCGGGCGATGGGTTGATGGAATCGATGAGGAATGATAATTTTTGAAGCTCACGCTTTACTTTTATTTGGCCGTTAAACGCAAATTCGCTGCTGCTGAAATTCAAATTTCGCATTTTCAGACATTTTCCCGTCAAATATGCAAATTTAGATTGGTGGATTATAGGGCGAAATTTATAGAGAACATTGCCACATACTCTTTCATTCAAATCCAATAGTCGTTTTGGAATCTGAAGTAGATTTAAATGATATTAATAACATCGAAATGAGTACCTGGAATTTTTTGCAACTTGTTGAGCGCATCAATAATTTCTCTTCGACGATCCACTATTGAAATGCGATCTTCAGATAAGACGAGAGCAAACCTGATCTATGACAGGATTTGCGAGCTGTAGGCTTTTGTGGAAGCAACTCCAATCTCTGGTCCAGCATTGATGTGAGTTCCTGAAAAAGTGCATTGTAAACATGTAGTTCTGTAAATTGACTCACCACAATGGGATTCACGACAAATTGACGATCCAACAGTGTTAGTGACTCCAATAAGCAACGCTCCTCGGGGCTTGCAATAACTAGTTTTATCAAAGATTTAACCTACCGAAGCGCCATCAAAGTGTCCGCTGTTTCACTAGATTGAAAGATAAAGAAGCAAACGTCATCACGGAAGATTGGAGCTTGCTAAACAATAAAATAAAATTAGTAGTAGGAAAGTAGGAAAGCTAAGCAATACTCTGTCAAGAAAATCTGAGGCAAGTTCAAGAACAACGGGCAGTTCCGTTAACGTCATGATTTGTCTGCAAGCAATCGCCGAGTTGTACGAAGTTCCACAAGCAACCTGAAAACATAAATAATGAGGATAATACCATGATAATACGGCGGCACCGGCGAGTGTCATTGACATAATCCTTGATTCCCCCCAGCACGACTTGCCCGGATGGAAGCACCCGTCCACGCATAGTGTTAACCACAGAGTCGGGTTGCTCTCAGATTTCCTTTTGCATGAAAGTCTTGGAATCACCCCTAAACAAGAAAATTAGTTAAAGGCTAACTATAAAGCATACCTCATGATTTGTTGAAGCTCCATCGTAAGTGAATGTACTTGTTTGAGCCGTCTACTTGTCATTCGAACCGCGTTTGATGCGATGAATAGTCAGAGCTCCATCTTCAACAAAAACAACGTCGTCATCTTCCAAGTAAAGCACTTGTTTGGTGTATTCAATTATGGCCGCAGCATCAGATGCGACGAAGTATTCAACCTAAATAGAACAAGTTAGTACAAGAGAAAGACTCTCACCTCCCAGTCGCTGGAATCGAATGGACGAACATTCAACATTGAAGAATGACGGTCATCAGCACTTCATTATGGATAACTGGATCGAAACTAGTTATTAAGAATAGTAAGCACAAAAAAAAGTTGATGGAGAACACGTGAATAACAATTAAAACCAGGTCGAGTCCGAGAATAATAGAATTCAGTTACGGGACTGTATAAAATAAAGGAAGCTGACGCCACGAGCAAATTTCAAAATTCTTGGACGAGAAAACATGAGCAAGTGAGAAAATAGAGCTTTGGGCGCCATTTTATGAACCCGCTTAACATTTAGTTAAGAATACATTTTGGACATTGTAGTCACTGGACATTTTGGAGACAATTTCATTTGCGGTAATATCATGTTGTATATCGTGTTTTAGAATTCTGGCATCGATAACGTTTACTTCTGTTACATCTACTTTATGTGAAGTGCTTCCATAAAACAAAATGGCAGAAATAGGTAAAAATTTTAACAAACTTTATTTTATCCCACTGATAGGAATCTTTTCACAAAATGCTGATCGAATGAGAAAAAAGGGAAAAACATACGGAAAAAAAAGGGACTCTAACATTTACTAACTAGTTACGGGCTACGGTAGAGTCACGATTTAAAGGCCCTTAACCTAGTCGATGTTCGGAAAAAGTTGTCAAGTGTTTTATTCAGTTTAAGTCATTTTTTCAAACCTGGATTTTCTATGAAACTCTTTGTATGTACGATTATTGCATTTTCAATAAAGTTTTATAAAGATATTTTGTTATACAATTAAAATTTCAATTAGTAAAAGTTTAAGAATCATATTTATTTACACAATCATCTAACAATAGACATCAGAATAGAATTAGAATAAACTAATTCTTCAATATTATAAAGAATAAAGTGTACGTTAACGTAAATTGAAATTTTAAAGTTAATAGGTCAAACTGGAGCATTCGGTGCACTATGCTTAAAAGTTTTTGTTTAACTTTTTAAAAGGTTTGTGAAACAGCTGAAATGATAAAAAAACCTTGGAAATTCTTAGGATTAACAGTTAATGGGCGGTGGATCTGCTGGGAAACCGTGATCAGAGAGTTGAGGCATATGGAAAGGAACTGGTACTCCAACGGGATCAATCACGAAACGAATATTCCCGAAATCGACACTGAAACAAAACTAAAGATCATTTACAAGTTCTTGACTATTTGATGTACTTTGGGCTGCACGATTATGTTGCAAACAAATTCCTTTTGGCGCACTAATCACATCCCTTCTTCTCTCTCCAACATCAAATCTTTGTAGCAAGAAAAATAAGAATTAAGTGCACTAGAAAGAGGGTATTTGCCTTTCTTTTAGCACAAAGTACACAAGGTAAGCGAAAGGTCACGGGTTTGAGTCCGGCGCACAAGTTTTTGATCTGCCCTGGTTCCAATTGCCTTGTAAAACTTTAAACTCGTATAAATTTTGATAGGGTAACGCAAAATGGAAAGCAGATTCGGAATCAGTGTGAAATTCTGCATCGAATGGTATATAGCAAATGCCATTTGACCACCTTGCTCACTTCCCTTGTCAGTTTAAAGCATGCATCAGATACAGTAACCGTTTCCAACTACCAGAATCCGGTCAATTGAAACCGTTTCCAACTACCAGAATCCGGTCAATTGAAACCGTTTCCAACTACCAGAATCCGGTCAATCTAAATCATGCCTCCAGCTACCGTAACTCAGCCTAGAGCTTCGTCGTTTAATCTTTTTAGATATCTCCTTTTCCAAGTTATTTTCCAAGTTTCCAAGTCACAGTAATCTCTACGGCTATTTGGATTACTGTCACATTTATTGTAGTGTAAAGAAATCCCTCTTGGCGCACTAATCACATCCCTTCATCTCTCTCCAACATCAAATCTTTGTAGCAAGAATTAACTGCACTGGAAAGAGGGTATTTGCCTTTC